TCCTCCTTCACCTCCTCCTGCTCCCCTCATCCTTCAAGGTCCTTCCCCTTCCCTCCTCCTTCCTCCTCCTCCCCTCTTCCCTTCTCCTCTTCAACCTCCGCCCTCGGCTTCCTCCTCCTACTCCTTCCTCCTCCCCTCCCCCTCGTCCTCCTCCTCCTATTCCTCTCTCCTGCTCCTCCCCGCGCCGTGCATTATGGTAAATGTCTCATAATGCACCGCGCGAGACCCTCGCGACGTCACACCTGACGTCACGAATGATGTCATGAGGGTCCCGCGCGGTGCATTATGGAACATTTCCCATAATGAGCCGCGCGGTTACGCCGACGGCGACGGCGATGCCGACGCCGCTCAAGCCGGAAACGGCCGCCTAAGAGCTGCGCTTTAAAAAATATCGGGTAGGTGGAAAAGGAAATATAATTGCCTTACGTTTTAGTTTCTTACATTGCCAAAATAAACGCCATCGTGATTCCAACATGTCATTGTGGGCTTCACACGAGCTCGGCTCTTTTTTGTTATTAAGAAACCTATCTTAATGTTTTTCAATCGGGTGAAATCATCCTGGGTAAAATCTATCATTTAATTTTAGCTCTGTATATTACGGCGCCGCAATATGTTAGGAAGCCTTCATAATTCAAATACGCCATCGAGTTCACACCGTTCTGTATTTACATTGAGGTTCCCTCGCCGTGCCCACGGGTATATACAATACACGTTGTGAAAATTCATTGAGGTATACTTAGGAAACCCCGTAAGAATAAAATTAACTTAGGGGGACTCGCAGGCATTTCACTCCGAGCTACTAATCTGCCTCATCGATTCCTCGAAGAAAATCTTATATTTGTAGGACTGAAATTGGGTTTCTTGGTTATACAGCATAATTAGTGCCGCCGGAAAAATTCACTTCGATAAGAATTAGTGAATAACTAATGCGCCGAGAAAATGAGGGAGAGGAGGAGACTAGCGGGGACGTCAGAACTCCGAGCTCTGGCTGGAACGATTAGGGGGCAGACAGCTAGCTGCTTTTTCTCCACTGCACTCGACGAACACATTAAAAGGCGGAATGCAGGCGTCTGGCGCCTGGCTCTTGCATCTTAACGCGTTTGACGAGTGCAGTGTGAGACAAAGGCAGGTAGCTTTAGGTCTACCCACTAACCAGAGCTCGGCGTTCTGACGTCCCTCTTGTCTCCTCCTTCCCCTCACTTTCTCGGCGCATAGATGTTTTGTCGGATGACCGAAGCGTCAAAGAAAGTCTCCGCACGCGCTGGCCTCTGAAGCAGTAACTGTTCGAAAGCAAAAACAATAAACAAATGGCACTTCGCACATGCGTTCCTCAACGCGTTCGTTCCCCAACGCTTTCAACGCGTTCGAACCTTTTATACACGGAAGACGAACCCGTGCAGCGCCTGTACCTACATTCACAGCATTCTCTCTGGAGCTCGGTTCTTTTAGCGAAAGTTCTATTCGTTAGTTTGTTTCTTGCAATCTCTGACGTCCGCCATGGCTGGTAGTTTGTTAGTTTTCATTTGTGTGATAACTTGAGCAGACGACATTCCAACGGGCAAAGAGGGCTTCTTTATTGAACGTGCTATACTTATAGGCGCTTGTCACGTGACATCCGTGACCGGGGTGCGCACAGCCGATGCGCCGTGGTGCGCCGTGACTTGCAGCGCCACGCTGCTACATTCCTTCCCCCTCACATCAGCTTCGGAAGTCCTCCGGTTTGTACCTGTCCGGTGGACGCCGCACTCGCGTACTTCTTCTGGAAGTCGGTGCCTCAGTACAAGGCTCCGGTGTCGTCACTGGCGCACTTGTGGAACTCGGTGGTGGAAGCGGCTGCTGACGCGTCCGTGTAGCTTGTTGACTGCCGGCTTGAGAGTCCGCTGGCATAGCAGCAGAAGCAACTTGTGGCACCATCGGCTGGGTTTCTCGAGGCACCGGAACATCTGGGAGCGTAGGCTCCTCCGGCGTAGGCGGTGCAGCAAGGGACGTCGGGCTTGCAAGGCGGTCTCGGATGTGGTCGGCGTGTGTGAACCGCACAACCTGCGCCACTTTCACTAAATATGTCACAGGACTGACGACTTGAGTCACCACACCTTCTTCCCATGACACTAGCTCGCCTCGCACCGTTTTGACCAACACAGTATCACCCACAACAAAAGACCGGTTAGCACCTCGCGACGCATCACTCTGTTCCTTCAGGTGCTGCTGTTTGTTTTGCATGGCTTTTACAAAATCGGGTTTAAGCAAAGAAAGTTTCACTCGTGGCTGTCGCTTCAAAAACAGCTCGGCTGGAGTGCGACCAGTGGTACTGTTTGGGGTGTTTCGATAGCTCATTAAAAAGCTATCCAAACGCTCGAGCAGAGTGTTTCTTGCCACTCTGTTTCTCGTCTAACAATTGCTTCAGCAGAGTTTTTTTTGTGGTCTGCACGAGACGCTCTGCTGCGCCGTTGGAGGCAGCATGATAGGGTGGCGTCTTAACGTGCTTGATGCCATTCACCCTCATAAACTCAGAGAACTCATCTGAAACAAACTGAGGTCCGTTATCACTCACCAGTACCTCTGGTAGCCCATAAGCCGCAAATACACTTCGCAATTTGTCGAGTGTTTTACCAGTAGTGGTGGAAGACATGGACCACACTTCGATCCATTTCGAGAAAGCATCCACCAGTACTAGGAAGACATGGCCTTCTTTAGCAGCAAAATCCACGTGTACTCGTTGCCACGGCTTAGTTGGATAGCTCCATGGCTGTAACGGTACAGGTGGAGCAGCGTTCTGAACAGAATGACATACGCGACACTGTCGTACGTAGCTCTCGATTTCTAGGTCTAGCCCTGGCCACCATACAAAACTTCTGGCAAGCATTTTCATGCGGCTAGCACCTGGATGATCCTCATGCAACAGTGCCAAAACCTGTGACTGCAGCTTTTCAGGTACAATCACCCTTGAGCCCCAGGTGACGCAGCCTTGCTCAAATGACAACTCGTCACGTCGTACATGGTACGGTTTTAGCTCTTCGCTACTTTGGGCAGGCCATCCATTCAGAACGTAGTTAGCTACGCGAGACAAGGTCAAGTCACGTTTGTAGCTCTAGCTACGTCTTCCGCGGTCAAGGGAGTACTGTCAAACAACAAAAGACACTCAGCAGGGTCGTCAGCTGTTGTCATCGGTCGTGGGAGTCTAGACAGAGCATCAGCCACCTCGACATCTTTTCCTTTACGGTACTTGAGTTTGTACCTATAGGCTGCAAGAATCATTGCCCATCTTTGCATTCGAGCTGCCGCTAGCGTAGGTACAGGCTTATCGTGCCCCAGTATCCCAAGCAGTGGCTGATGGTCTGTATAGAGAGTGAACTCCCTACCATACAGGTAGCGATGGAACTTTTTCAGACCAAACATCAGAGCTAGTGCTTCTCGCTCGCACTGCGCATAGTTCTTTTCCGCTGACGTGAGCGTTCGCGACGCGAACGCCACTGGGCGCTCTTCCCCTTCTGGTGTTACATGAAAAATGACAGCACCAATCCCGTACGATGAAGCATCACACAGCAATGCAATTGGCTTGTCTACGTCGTAGAACGTAAGAACCTGGCTGTTTACGAGCAACTGCTTCGTAGCAGCAAAGGCCTCGCTGCACTTCCAAGTCCACGACCACTTTTCGCCTTTTTTCAACAACCGATAAAGCGGTTCAGCTACGCACGAAACATTCTTGAGAAACTTAGCGTAAAAGTTTAGCATCCCCAAATACGCCTTCAGTTCCGTTACGCAGGTGGGCTCGGGCGCTTCTGTGATAGCCTTTGTCATTGCTTCTGTCGGGTAAATGCCATCGGCACTCACCGTGTGACCCAGGTAGGTCACCGAGCTTTGGAAAAAACGGCACTTGTCCGTTTTCAAAGTGACATTGTAGTCACGAAGTCGACGCAAGACGCATTCCAGCGTCCTTTGACAGTCCTGGGTGTCCTTTCCAGACACGATGACGTCATCAATGTAGCATCCCACATGAGGTATGCCTTTAAGCACCTCGCCCATGAAGGACTGAAAAATGGCTGGCGCACTGGCCACACCAAACGGTAGGCGTTGGAACTGAAACAACCCCATGTGCGTGTTTATAGTCAAAAGTGGTTTGGACTCGGCAGCCAGCGGTACCTGCTGATACGCAGCAGAAAGATCCAGCACGCAAAACACTTTGCCACCTGCGATGGCAGTGTACAGATCTTCAGGTCGCGGCAGTGGGTAATGGTCGGTTTTTAGTACAGGATTGATCGTTACTTTGTAATCCCCGCACAACCTGAGTGATCCATCTTTCTTGTGAATTACAACTACCGGAGTCGCCCACTCACTGTGACTTACGCGGCGTAAAACCCCGCTCTTCTCTAGCCTGTCCAGCTCTTCTTCAACCTTATCGCGTAACGCGTAAGGCACCGGTCTCGCCTTGCAAAAAACCGGCGTACAATCTTGTTTTAGAACTATCTTCGCTTGATAGTTGTTCGTGACACTAGACTGATTAGAAAATACTGTCGGGAACTTGTTACGCAGCGCTTCTATTCGGTGTGAATCAGTTACATGCTCCAGTGACATGACGCTTTTCCAATCAAGTCCGAGCCTCTCAAGCCAGTTCCGCCCCATGAGCAACGGCAATTTCTTGCCTTGGTTATCGACGACGATAACGGGCAGTTTCAAAGTCTGGTTTTCGTATGTGACGGAAACGTCACATTGCCCTTTTACCGGGATTCGTTCACCCGTGTACGTTTTTAGGTTTATCCGAGATGGCTCACACTTGACATGAGGGAACACGGTTTTCGCAACACTTTCAGGAACAATTGTTACAGCCGCTCCTGTATCAATTTGCATGAAAACGTCCGCCCCTTCAACATTGACTTTCACTTCATAACCCGAACGCACCGTGTTAAGGCAGTGATAGACGTCCAGTTCTGAATCGTCCTCCGAGCAGTCCACTGCATTCGCGTTCTTGGTTCCCTTTTTCTCGTTCGAGCACACCTTTTGCAAATGGCCTAACTTGCCACACTTGTGACACGTAGCATTCTTGTACCAACATTTGCTTGCCGCATGCGCCCTTCCACATCTTTCGCAAGACTTCTTGCTTTGCTTGTGTTTTCGAACGTCACGCTTATTGACGTTATCTTTCTGGTTCGCTCTTATCTCGTTCAACGACGCGTCTTTGCTTCCGGCGTGTATACGCTGTCTGTCGTGCCGCCTGCTCTTGATCCAATGCGATCTTGCATGCCCTTTCGAAGGTTAAGCTTTCTTCGGCGAATAGCGCACGTTGCGTTTCTTCGCGCCGTATTCCCGCCACAAGCCTGTCCCTCAGAGCATCTTGCAGAAACTGGCCAAAGTCACACTTCCTTGCCAAATGCTTTAGCGCTACAATGAAATCTTCAACGCTCTCCTGTTCCTCTTGTACACGTCTGTTGAATTTGCACCTTTCCGCTATGACCGAGCTCTTCGGGCTATAGTGGTTTTTCAGCAAAACTTTCACTTCTTCGAACGACTTATCTCCCGGTACTGCCGGTACGACCAAGCTTTTCAGAACTTCGTAAGCTCGAGGTCCTATAACGGTCAAGAACACCGCTAGCTTCTTTTCTGGTTTGATGTCGTTTGCGCTAACGAAGTGCTCGAAACGCTCTAAATACGAGTCAAAATTCTGTTGTTTTTCGTCGTATTCGTCAAGCTTTCCAAGAGGTGCCATATTTCGGCAAACCGACGGTGTACTTATCGGTTGCTGGCTTCCGTCCGTCGTGTCCGCTCCGTCCGTCGCCCGCTTGAGATACGATGACTGCGCTGCTTTGGCTGTCGCTGTCCGTTCAGTTGGCCCCGCTCGTATGGTGCTCGTCTGCTGCCGTCTGCGACGCTTCCGCTGGGCAGCGCGGGTGCGTTGTCATCCTCGTCGCCAATGTGATAACTTGAGCAGACGACATTCCAACGGGCAAAGAAGGCTTCTTTATTGAACGTGCTATACTTGTCACGTGACATCCGTGACCGGGGTGCGCACAGCCGATGCGCCGTGGTGCGCCGTGACTTGCAGCGCCACGCTGCTACAATTTGTTCAAAACCGAGCTATTTTAGAGCGCAGCTCTTAGGGGCCCGTTTCCAGCTTGAGCGGCGTCGGCGTCGCCGTCGCCGTCGGCGTAACCGCGCGGTGCATCATGGGAAATGTCCCATAACGCACCGCGCGAGCCCCCCACCGAGGTCACGTGACCTCGTGGGGGGGCACGTGACCCCCCCGAGGTCACGTGACCCCGGTGCATCATGGGAAATGTCCCATAATGCACCGCGCGAGCCCCCCACCGGGGTCACGTGACCTCGTGGGGGGCACGTGACCCCCCGAGGTCACGTGACCCCCCCGAAGTCACGTGACTCCCCTGAGGTCACGTGACCCCCGGGGTCACGTGATCCCCTCCTCGAGGTCACGTGACCCCCCGAGGTCACGTGACCCCCGCCGATGTCGCGTGACCCCCCGATGACGTCATCGTCACTGATGACGTCACCGGCATCCACATCGTCATCGTCATCATCACTAGTGACGTCACCGGCATCCACATCGTCATCATCACTGATGACGCCACCGGCATCCGCATCGTCATCGTCATCATCACTGGTGACGTTACCGACATCCGCATCGTCATCGTCATCATCACTGATGATGTCATCAGTGACGTCACTGATGTCACCGGCATCCACATCGTCATCATCACTGATGACGTCACCGGCATCCGCATCGTCATCGTAATCATCACTGATGACGTTACCGACATCCGCATCGTCATCGTCATCATCAATGATGACGCCGTCAGCGACATCACTGATGACGTCACCGAGATTCGCATCGTCATCGTCATCATCACTAGTGAAGTGATCAGTGACGTCACTAATGACGTCATCGGTACCCGCATCGTCATCGTCACTGATGACGTCATCAGTGACGTCAGTGATGACATCATCGGCATTGGGGGCACGTGACCCCCAAGGTCACGTGACCTCCCCCTGGTTAGTTTAACCCCCCCCCCCCCCCAGTGCCCTTCCCTCCTCAAGAGCTGCGCTCTAATTCGGCGTTACAGGGAGTTGTAAGCGGCTTTCACTTTTTTTGTAATAACATTTGACGTTTTCGTTGCAACAGCTCGTATATTTATGCACAGCCATATAAATCTTTTTTTTTCTTTGTTCGCAGCAATATATGGGTTCGATATATCTGTACTCGCGAATCTCGTTTCATTATATCGCAGCAGTATGATTATAAAGATTAATTTGCGGTGCGTAAGCTTCGTGTCCTTGGGAAATCCCCTATTTTTAGAAGTCGTTTTCATTGAGCGAGGAAAACGTCCTTACGGCACCAACGGCGTAGAAGTGAGTTTTTATTATCACACACATGTATCGCAGGTTTCACACCAACCTGTCGACGTTGGTGTACGCGGACCAGTTCCTTCAGCTGTCGACGTACATTCCCTCCCGCTACGTGTACGGCGTCGGGGACGTCAAGTCGCCACTGCTTCGTAGCACCGACTGGCAAAAAATCACCCTCTTCAACGTCGGACGATCCCCCACGGCAAGGACCTCAACATTTAAATTCTCAGTTAACGAGTACTTGTTTCATCGCGATGCCTGGAACGCGTCTTCGCGTATTGTGTTTCCATCGTCCGAAAAAAATGGTTCCTCAATTTGCCCCTTGTGACGTCATAAAGGTGTGATGCGCCGCACTCCGCGATCCAGGCGGTGTCAGAGCAGTGGTGGTGGATGTGGCAGACGTGTCTGATTTGCGGCGGGTCGCTCTCGAGTTCAACGGTACGCAGAAGCATAGCCTCCTATATACTGACAAAACCTGTCAGATCGCCACGAGAAGCGGCCGCCGGAATGGAAAAGGGGAGTGGCAGACAACCGTTGAGAGGAGAGCCACGTGACTGGCGCCCCGCTGCGGCGAAACGCCGAAACACACTTCTCCCGAGCGAACAAGCGTGTTTCGAGTCCTCACCGCTGCAAAAGCTGTGCACTGGCTTCCAGGTTCCCTGACGAATGGCTCTTCGATGCTCTGTCCTACCAGATCCTCGAGCTCTAAATCTGCGACCGGGCACTCTATGGCTTCGTCGTTGAACTGCCAGGCTTTGGGAGCATAGAAGAGGCTATGACAGAAGTTTGGGCAGCCAGGGTTGGGACGCCGTGACGTCAGCGACACTCGCATTCTCGTGATTTTTTTTAAGAAGTTCTACACGCAACAGCCAGGATCGCGACACCCGACAGCATGACACACCGGCTCCTGTGACGTCAATTGTTGTCTCTTCGGGATCTCTTTGCATGCATGGGCGGAACTGGACGCTGAACACACCATTCGGGGACGCGTTCTGGGTATACCGTAGTTTTATGAAGATGCTGTTACTCCAGCTCATTTTACTTTAGAGGGAAAACTTCAAATCTTAGGACGGGAACCTACGACTGTTTAAATAGGGGTACACGAGGGACGCCACGTTGTTTCCCCTCGGTCGCCGTGCCCGCTCAGAAATGGCTCTCATTAATCTGACAAGAAGTACCTTGATTTAGAGGACTGCACGATTATGTTCGTTCAACGCGCATTCTACCCAGCCAGGTTCGTTGTTCCTTAGCAGACAATAAATGGAAACTTGTGTTGTGCATGAACTGCGAACAAGGACCAACAATATTGCGGCCCCTGAATGCTTCCGTTACATCAGGGGTCTAAATACTCCGGCCCGCAGCCAATGAGCGTATCTGTCGTCATAGCAAAGTTGCTTTCCATTCTCGTAATAGTCAGCTCTAAACATCCGTCTGTCACATTCACGCAGAGTAACTGGATATTTATTCATTGTAATGAACGAGGAGCTCGGCGAACAAAGAGATAAAAGAAACGTGCCGACATAGAAATAAATTCGACTGTATGTGTAACAATGTGTGCAGCACGATAGTGCAAGACATCGTACTAGCGTCACGCATGGCGTTATTTATATATTTTTATATTTCTCGAAAGCAGTCATTTTCTAGAAAATGTCCTTATCATATGCCTAGCTACCCCAGATATGTCAACGTTGAAACTACTTCTCGGACTAGTGTTTTATGGTGCTTTGAATCATGCGAAATTGCCAAACGTCTGCATGGTGCATCCTTGCAGTCAGAAACTTTCAAGCAAAAATACTCGCAGCGAAAAGCGAAACAAGAAAACTGAAATAATTACGAGTTTTTCTCTTTGCCGCAGGAGGGCAAAAATCTTTACAGCAGCCATCCGTTCATGCTCATTCACGAAGAAACAGGCGAAAGCTGCGGCCTCTTCCTTCTCAACAGCAACGCAATGGGTAAGGATTGCACTTTCCGTAGACGGTGACAGGTTAAAAAAAAAATGAGGCTCCAATGCACGCTGTGAAGGTGCTTGGCTAGCGAAGCTGTCGTATCACCTGCAACGATTGCCCACTGCACTATACCAAATGCTGCCGCAGATCGTATCGCCGTTTATTTTCGCTTTGCCATCTCGTCGCATTCACGCTGTTTTAGATGCGGAGCATCTCTTGCTCGGGTCTATGTCCCGCGGCGTCGTAGTCCGCACTCACACTACGCATGCGCAACTCTCCTCCTTTCCTCTCTCCAACAGCTGCGCGTTACTCTCTCCGCTCTCTCTCTCTACCAGCTGCGTGCACTTCGCGTGCGTTCACTTCTACTCACACCGCGCGCGCATGCGCAACTCTCCTCCTCTAGTCTCCTCTCCTTCAAGTGTGAATATAAACAGCGGTAGCTCGCGTTCAGTTCACCGCTGTTGACTCCACTCCGTTCTTCCGATGAAGTGTGATGGAAGCAACCGTCCCGTCAGTTAGTGGGTTGGCGCAAGCAAGCGTCAGCACCACCCCACAAACTAACAGCAACGCTACGTCCACTGAAGACAAAGCTGCGCAGCGAAGGGCACGCGACGCTGAGCGCAAACGCTTGAAGCGAGCGGCAGACCCTGAACTACGGCAACGAGAAGCGGCGTCCATTCGTCAACGTCGAGCGGCGGATGCTGAACTACGACAACGTTAAGCCGCTTTTTTTCGAGAACGTCGAGCAGCAGAAACCGAGGTTCGGGACCGTGAAGTTCAACGTAAACGTACGAAGCGAGCGGCGGAACCCGATGCTCCGCATCACCCCATGGTTCCCCTCGGGAAGACGGTGTTTCGAGAGTCCTAACTATGCGTCGCCTACCCATAAGGGTGCTGCAACAACAATAAAATCGGTTGCTATACTCCGTTTCACCTTACGTCCAAGCGCGGCGGATGTTGCGAGCCATCGAGACAATTTAACGCCGTGTGGGTGTCATGTGACCTTAGAGAGGAAGCACAGCGAAGCGCGGAAAGCGTATCATGGGCTACGTTTACAGAACAGGATTTGCTAGGTTAGCTCGTGGGCGCCCGCTGCGTCCGGACATAAGGAGAAACGGAGTGTAGAAAGGGTCCTTATTTCGTATATGAAAGGCTAGTGACGTCACTCCCCACATCGCAAGCTGCCGTCGCCGCGGCAGCTTGCGCAACAGTAATCTTTACCGAGAAACGTATGTGGTGAGTGCTACGTGCTTCGCATTGTTATTAAGAGCGCCTTATCATCAGTTATGTGGTTCGGATGCTTGTTTTGTGCTTATTCTTTATTGAAACGAATGCTGTGCTGTATGTTGTGTGCGTGATGTATGTACTTTTCGCTTCAATCGCTGGAGGTTTTTTATGTTCTGTTGTTGTTTCTTTTTCGTGGGGACGACGACATGAAAAAATCCGAGCAACGAGTCATATACAGC